TTATATATTAATATCCCGCGTGTTATACATTTTATTACATATTATTATAATTATTATCATCATCATTTTCGAATTTTTTTTTTTTTTTTTAATAGTTTGTATTTATATTTATTCTCTTACATTATATATATATATATATATTTATATTTATATATTATAAACGTATAAATTTTTTTTTATATTTTTTTTTTACACTAATTTTAAAAATTACACGTGCTCATATCACGTTCGCACGCACACGCACACGCACACGCACACACTCACACACTCACACACACACAGACACATACAAAACTCGTGCGTTATTATATATAATAAAAATTATATCTTAACTTACATTATTCATTATCATTATTATTATTAACTTATAATATTATACAATATAAGTGAATAAATTTAGTAATAAAAAAAAAAAAATATCATTATTATTATTATTATTATTATTATTATTATTATTATTATTATTAATTTGTTTTCTTTCTTTTTGGAGTATTAAATAATGACGAGAAATTGTTAAGAAAGATTAAAAAAAAAAAAAAGGGAAAAATGGGTTTTTTTTCCTATTCCATTGATTTATTTGATTTTGTTCGATAATTGATCGATTTTTTTGTGTGTGACGTCATCGATTTAAAAAAAAAAAAAAAAACAAAATTTTCCAAATGGAATTTAAGTGACGAAAATTAATTTTTAAAAAATTTCACTGTCAGTTATTTTTGTTTGTTTGTTTGTGCAGATTAATTAATTAATAATAATAATAATAATAATAATAATAATAATAATAATAATAATAATAAGTAAATTTTCTAAAAAAATTGTTTAAAACTGAAAAAAACTTTTTTTTTTGGGGGGGGGGATTTGGGAGATTTGGGGAATTTGGAATGAATGCGAATTGTCTTTGTCTTTACAATAAATCACTTTTGGCACAATTTTATTATCCAGCGGGTACAGGGGGGAGGGTTATAATAAAACCTTGAGGGGGAAGTGTGTGTAAAAAAAAACTAAATAATAATAATAATAATATTGTAAAAAAAAATTGCAAATATACCCACGCGGCAGTGACCGGTTAAGAGAGTAACAGTAATGATAAGAGTATTAGAAAGAAAAAAAAAAAAAAAAAAAAACTTAATTAATAAAACGATTGTCTAGTTAAACGCTCGTAATAATAATAATAATAATAATAATAATAATAATAATAATAATAATAATAATAATAATAATAACAACAACAATAGTAGTAGTAATAATAATAATAATAATAATAATAATAGTAGTAATAATAATAATACTAACAACAACAACAACCTGATTGCGAAAACTTAAACGTGTTCGTAATCAATTCGACCGTAAGACGCTACTACTACGTCACACATAAAATTTAACGGATCCCCGCGTTTTCACCGACGATACGTCATCAATTTTTTAACCGTCTTTTATTATTATTATCATTGTTTTATTTTTTTTTCCCATTAATCGTTTCGATGATATTTTAAACGATCGTTAAACAAAAAAAATAAAAAAAATTTACGCGCTTTTTCTCGATATTCACGAGTCGAATGTCAAGACAAGCAGCTGAGTAGTTAATTTCTAATCGATATAGGAAAATACCCAAGGCTACACGCGGACACGTTTTTCTTTTTTTTTTTTTTTTTTTCCGTAAAGATAAAAACCGAAATCGAAATTTTAAAATAAATAATTTTTAAATCGTTTGTCTCTCCGAATGCGTGTGTGTACGTGCGCGTGCGGTTACGGTACGTTAAAATTTAAAAAAAAAAAATTAAGAAAAATTCAAAATTAGAATTTAAACGTGAATTAATTTTTACTTCGTCTACGGCAAAAATGGCGGCAAGCCCTCGTTTTTTTTTTTTTCCTCTTATTTATTTATTTTTAGAATCATCATTTTCTATTATTCAAAAATTAAAATAAAATTCTTTTTAATTTATACGCAATCAACCAAGGTTAATAATAATAATAATATAAATTTTCAATTTTCTCTCGTATTTTAAAAAAATTTTTTTTTATTTTTTCCCCCCCTATCGAATCCTTTCAATACGGACACGTTGTCATCATCATCATTATTATTATTATTATTATTACTACTAGTTACGACTATAACTAATATTTGCACACTCAAAAAATTCACCCAAAAAAAAAAAAATTATTGCACAAAAAATTTTTTTTCCCTTTTTATTATTATTATTTTTTTTTTAAATAAGGCGACCAAGTTTTTATTATTATTATTACCATTAAAGACTAAGTTTTTATTTATTTATTTATTTATTTAAGGCATTAATTAAATAGTTTTTTTTTTTTTAGTTTTTTTTCTCTTTCATAAAAACTCTTTTAGGGTATCCCTAATTAATTTATTTTGTACAATCGTTTTTTTTTTATTATCATAATTATCATTATTATTTCTAATACCCATTTATTAAATGTTTATTTATTTATTAAAAAACGAATACCCAACTCCTTTAATTTCATCTCTATATATATATATATAAAATTTATTTATTTATTTATTTTTTTTTTTGTATTTTTTTAAGATGAGCAATCCTGCATTGAAAAAAAAAAAAAAAAATGTAAGAAGAAATTTTTTTTTGTTTTTTTTTTTTTCATGTTTTTTTAAAGCGCACAGCCCTACGACCCCGTTCATTTAAAAAAAAAAAAAAAGTAAACTACATTAAGTATATTTTATACAAGAAGAAAAAAAAAAAAAGTGAAAAATTTATAACTAACTAAAACAAGCTCCCTTGAATACCTTTCTTTCATAACGAATCTAAATTAACCCTTCTCTAACTCGTCTATGCCTATGCCTATGCATACGCCTATGCATATGCGCATACGCGCATAGACATGTGAAAAATCAGGCCATTTATCAATTGTCGTTCATCCCTCAATAAAAAATATATCATTATTTATTTATTATTATTATTATTATTATTATTATAATTAATAATATTATTTTTATTAATTAATCTTTCCTGGCTTTTTTTTTGTCATTCGACTTGCCACCTTTACCTCCCGATGATTGTTGTTGTTGTTGTTGTTGTTCTCCGGCAGGTTTTTTATTACCACCCTGACTCGGAGTTTTGTTTTGTTGCTTTTGTTTATTATCCCCTTTACTTCCTTTACCTCCGTCAGAAGATTGCGGTTTATCCTGTTTTTTTTTGGCCGGCGGTGAAGGTGCGCTCATGTTTTCCACCTTCTTTTTGTTCTTTTTGTCTTTTCTAGAGAGAGCCGTTTCCCAGCCGTCGTCATCGTAGTCTTTGGGCTTGTCATCGTGACCCTTTGATTTTTTAGCTTTGGGAGCTTCTCTATTTTCTTTTCCCGTTCTTTTCTCACCCTTTTTCTCGTCTTTTTTACTACTCTTAGCCGCGGATTTTTGATTATCTTTCTGACCAGCAGATTTTTTACTTTTTTCTCCCTTTGAGTGTTTTGACGATTTGCTATCGTCCGAAATGGCCGTAGCGTGTCCGTTTTGAGTTTTCTGTAATCAAATCATTCGACTTCATGACATATGTATGCATTTTTATAATGATTATGAATATGATTATTATTTTAATTTTAATTTTTATTATCAATTGTGATCAACCATATTGTCATTTATAAATTTATTAATAATAAGTCATCCATCAATTTTAACTTGTTTCTCTCTCTGGCCAATTTTGAATTTTCATGTTGCATATGTTAACAAAAACTTGGTGACAAAGTTGGAATCTTATACAATCATAACAAAAAAATAAATAAATTATAATTTGTTTGTTTTATAAATTAAATGAATTTTAAACATGCTATAAATTAAAAGCTGTTATAAATATGTGTTGGATCTTTTGCATACTGTGTGTGTGTGTGCAGGCATGACCTGGATAAACCAAGACACTCAATGAACAAATCCAAATGATTTTGAATCATCATGTGAAAGCTCCAAATCTCGTCAAAATAAATTAAAATAAATTTCAATTAAACAATATTATTTAATAAAATTAGAGAATAGTAAAACTTTTAATTAAAAAAGGGCAAAGGTTAAAGTGAAACGAGGTAGCCACGATGGCATAGATGAAGTATTCGGACCAGATGGAGAATATCATTCTTTTGAAAATTTATCAATAAAAAATTTATCAATTATAATTTTCATTGATATTATTAATTAATTTATAAATACCTTGTCCTTAGATTTTTTTTTCTTGCCTGATTTTCTGTCACCTGATGAAAATCTCAAGTACTTAAAATTGGGAAGATCAACAGATGAATTGAATCCAAAAACAAACAGTAATGCGGCAAACACTAATACAATGCCGACAGGCAATAAAACCATAAATTGAGGTCCGACTACTTTTGAAAGATCCATTGTAACTAATTATTTAAATCACAAAATTCGAATATACATTCAAAGATTAGTTGCCAGCATAATAAACAGATGGGTTCTGATGACGAGGCTCTACGAGTTTCGGTCACATAGATAAATACGTTGCCAAGTTTATGTTTACTAGCTGAAGTGTCAAAGACGTGGAACTTCGAGTGGTTTTGCAATGCCTCCTGTATTTTTTTTTTCAAACGAATTTCAACTCTTTCTATAACAAATATACCAACATCGATCGGGTATAATAACGAAATCTTTATAATAAAATAAAGCTTTTTAAACAAAAATCAATCTTTGTAAAAGTTACAATGAGAAAAATAATTTCCGGTTTCGTTATTTCAATTCGAAACGGTTATCCGTCGGGAATAAGGTAGGCATATCGTACGAAAATGAGGCAACAAGACGTCAATGTCCGGCCAACAGTCAAATGGCCCCTAATCAGTTTTTATTTTCAAAACATTATGGAGTAATGTTTTAGATTGTAAACAAACATTAATCATGATACTTCAAATTGAAGTTTAAAATAGCATAACGATGCAAACTAGTGATAAAACAAAAGAAATGTTTATCGTAAGGGCTTTGGAAAAAATTTTAGCAGATAAGGATATTAAAAAATCCCACCACTCCCAGCTTAAAAGAGCTTGCGAGGTAGCTTTGGGTAAGAATTTTTTTTTAATTCAATTAGTACCATTTTATTTTTAATTTTTCCCAATTGCTAATTGCATTATCGTCGACGAAAATCATATTTTTAAAATACGTTTTTATACGATAGTTTTTTTCTCTCCTAACCTAAACTTGAAATGACTTTTTCTTTTTTTTTTTAAATGAATATTGAAATTCATTTCTTTTCTTTTACTTTATCTTGAGAATTTTTATTTATTTTACTTTTTTATTTATAGTAAGATAAGTTTTTTTTTTCTCCTTTTGAAATCATAAATTTTATGAGTCTTTTATTTGTTATACTTTTTGATGCCAGATTACAATTTTTTTGGTTCCAATAACAAATTTAAAAAGCATTTTGTCATCATTATCATTTATCATAATGTTTTACGTGCCATGAATATAATTTTATGCAAAAAATTATAAAATTTTAAAGAAATTTATAAAAAAAAATTTATTAATAAAATGCACCTAAGCATGTAACAATTTATTATTGTAACAATTTTATTACTTGGCTCAATTAAATTATTATTATTCGTTTTCCTTGTAATTAAAATGATAAAATAATATTTAGAATTGTGATGTGTTAATTTGGTTTTGTTCGAAAAAAAAAAAAAAATCAATGATGCAATGGTATCAACCAAAAAGACCTTGAATTTAAAATTTTATTAATTTTAATAAGAACTTGTATTTATAATAATTTGTAATTTTTTTGTTTCCAACAGAGGAAATTAAAGCGGAATTAAAAAATTCAAGCGAGTCCAATGCGGCATCATCAGCTTTACCATTACCAAAAAAAGATACGACAACAGTTACTGCGGAAAAATATTTTTTACCTTTTGAATTAGTATGTCAATCGAAATCATCGAGAATAGTTGTCACAGCCTTAGACTGTTTGCAAAAACTAATAGCTTATGGTCATCTGACTGGAAATGTGCCTGATTCGACAACACAGAAAAAATTTTTAATAGATAGAATTGTTGATACAATATGCTCATGTTTTACCGGACCGGCAACGGATGATGGAGTACAATTACAAATAATAAAAGCTCTTTTAACCGTTGTCACGAGTCAACACGTTCAAGTTCATCAAAAAACTCTTTTGAACGCCGTCAAAACTTGTTACAATATTTATTTGGCGAGTAAAAATTTAGTCAATCAAACGACGGCGAGAGCTACACTGACGCAAATGCTTAATGTTATTTTCACACGAATGGAAAATCAAGCCTTGGAAGAACAATATAAAAATAATAATCAAAAATCTGATGATTCCAACAGGGATAAAAAACAATCTTTTGTAAATTCCAACAAAACAAATTCGAACGAAATTCAATCTTCTTCTTCTTCTTCCACCGAAGGCATTTCAAAAACCGATGATAAAATAACAGAAAACGGTATCGCGAATTCTTTGGATGTCGACGTGAAAAAAGAAGATGTCGTTTCTGCTGCTACAAATTCATTCGATGAATTTCCCACTTCCGAAGAGGCCTTTGACGAATCTGTCGCCGAGAAAAAATCCGATTCTGATATAATCAAAGAAGTATTAAATAAAATAATAACCGATGTTGAATCAATATGCGAAAATGGTTCCGACACGTTGAGCGTTCCGTCCGGTCAAAGCGAAGACATGAATTCAATTGAAAATGACCAATCTTCGCTCCCGAAATTTACTCATGTGTTACAAATAGATGCCTTTTTAGTATTTCGTTCCTTGTGTTTGCTTTCGATGAAATCATTGCCCGAAGGAATTCCCGATCCGAAGTAAATATCGACGCTATAATGATTTTTCTTCTACGAATATAAATATATTTAAAAAAATAATAATAATGATTTTGTTCTTTACAGATCTCACGAGCTTCGGTCAAAGATCCTTTCCCTACATTTGCTATTATCAATACTACAGGGTGCCGGACCTGTTTTTAGGTCCAACGAAAAATTCATAACGACGATAAAAAGTTATTTGTGCGTCGCATTGAGCAACAACGGCGTATCAAACGTTCCGGAAGTTTTCGAACTTTCCCTATCGATATTTTTGGCACTTTTGTCAAATTTTAAATTGCATTTAAAAAAACAAATTGAAGTTTTTTTCAAAGAGATTTTTTTAAACATACTCGAAACGAGTAGCAGTTCGTTCGAGCATAAATGGATGGTCATACAAGCGTTGACGAGAATTTGCGCGGATGCTCAAAGCGTCGTAGATATTTACGTTAATTACGATTGCGATTTGACGGCGGCAAATTTATTCGAAAGACTCGTCAACGATTTGTCTAAAATAGCTCAGGGAAGGCAAGCCTTTGAACTGGGTGCGACGCCGAATCAAGAGAAATCAATGAGGATTCGTGGTTTGGAATGTTTGGTATCGATACTTAAATGCATGGTGGAATGGAGTCGAGATCTTTATATAAATCCCAACAGTCAGAGCGTATTAGGTGAGAAAAAAAAATGATAATAATAATAATAATAGCAATCGAATGCAATTAAAAAAAAAAAATTTTTTTTAATAATTATTTTCGTTTTTAGGCGCCGCCGACAAACATGCGACGAGTCAAGATGTCGATTCGATTCCTTCGCAGGGAATAAAAAGTGAAAGTTTAAAATCGTTCGGGAGTACGAATTCTTTGAATTCCGCGGAATCGAGCGTCAACAAAGAAATCCCGGACACGCCTCAACAATTTGAGGTTTTGAAACACCAGAAAGAAATATGGGAAACGGGAATCGAAATGTTTAACAGGAAACCCAAAAAGGGTATAAAATATTTGCAAGATCATAAACTTCTCTCGGAAAATCTCATCGAAATAGCTAATTGGCTTATTAATAACGATAGACTGGACAAAACCGCCATTGGAGATTTTCTCGGTGATAACGATGATTTTAGCAAGGCTGTGATGTATTTCTACGTTGATTTATTAAATTTCAAAGATAAGGATCTTGTTTCAGCGTTGAGACAATTTTTGGAAGGATTTAGGTTACCCGGAGAAGCGCAGAAAATCGATAGACTCATGGAAAAATTTGCTAGTCGTTATTGTGAATGCAATCCAAAGTATTAATAATTGATTATTTATTTTTAATAGTTTCCGGGAGAAAGGGAGGGAGGGTGGAGAGGAGGGAAGTAAAAATTAAAAAAAAATTATTATTTTTTCGATTGCAGTAACGGATTGTTCTCAAGTGCCGATACCGCTTACGTGTTAGCCTATTCAATCATCATGTTGACAACGGATCTTCATTCGCCTCAAGTCAAAAGCAAAATGACAAAAGAGCAATACATAAAATTAAACAGGGGAATCAGCGACAGCAAAGATTTACCCGAAGAATATTTATCGGAAATATACGATGAAATAGCCGGTCACGAAATCAAAATGAAGGGAAACATTTCGAAGCCGGGAAAACAAGTCATATCGAGCGAGAAAAAAAGGAGAGTCATATGGAACATGGAAATGGAAATGATATCGTCGACGGCGAAAAATCTCATGGAATCCGTGAGTCACGTTCAGGCTCCCTTCACGACGGCCAAACATTTAGAACACGTGAGACCCATGTTCAAAATGGCGTGGACTCCTTTTCTCGCGGCTTTCAGCGTCGGTTTGCAAGATTGCGACGATCCGGAAATTGCGCTTTTGTGTTTAGACGGTATTCGTTGTGCCATTAGAATAGCATGCATATTTCAAATGAAGGTACGTACGTTTAAATTTAAATTTAAAGAAGGAGGACCCGTTTACAGACGTTCTACATGTCATTTTTTTTTTTTTTTTTTTTTATATATAATCAAGCTGGAAAGAAATGCGTACGTTCAAGCATTGGCGAGGTTCACGTTACTCACGGCTAATTCACCCATAACGGAAATGAAATCGAAAAATATAGATACGATAAAAACGTTGATAACCGTCGCTCACACGGATGGAAATTATTTGGGAAAATCATGGTTAGACATAATTAAATGCATTAGTCAATTAGAATTAGCACAGCTCATCGGTACGGGAGTCCGTCCGCAGTTTCTTGCGGGTTCGACAAATAAAAAAGACAATCATTATTCATTCCATTCATCACTCGAAAATCAAACGGAACTCAAATTCAGTTTGAATTCTTTAGATCGTAAGTTAAAATCAAAATAAAAAAAAAAAAAAATGAAGGTGACGACCGCGTTCAAAACGATCGACTCCTGTTATTTTTTTTTTTTAGCTAGCGTTAAAGAAAGCATCGGGGAGACAAGTTCGCAAAGCGTCGTCGTTGCCGTCGATAGAATATTCACGGGTTCGACGAGACTCGACGGAGATGCCATAGTGGATTTCGTTGTCGCACTTTGTCAAATGTCCGTCGACGAACTCGACAATTCGACACATCCGAGAATGTTCAGCTTGCAAAAAATCGTAGAAATTTCTTATTACAACATGGGAAGGATAAGGCTTCAGTGGTCGAGGATTTGGCAGGTTTTGGGAGAGCATTTCAACAAAGTCGGTTGCAACGCGAACGAAGACATTGCTTTTTTCGCCGTCGACTCTTTGCGTCAACTCTCGATGAAATTCATCGAAAAAGGAGAGTTTGCAAATTTCAGGTTTCAAAAAGAATTTCTCAGGCCTTTCGAAGTCATAATGAAAAAAAATAGGAATCCCGCCATACGGGACATGGTTGTGAGATGCATAGCTCAAATGGTTAACAGTCAGGCTCATAACATTCGTTCGGGTTGGAAAAATATTTTCAGCGTCTTTCATTTGGCCGCATCGGATCAAGATGGAAGCATCGTGGAATTAGCATTTTCGACGACTGGAAAAATCATAAGTGAGAATTTTGTTTTCAATTTTTCATTCGCATTGAACGATTGAAAAATAAACATGGTCGTAAATATTGATTTTCAGATGAGTTGTACCAACAGTATTTTGCCATAATGATTGATTCGTTTCAAGATGCCGTTAAATGCCTTTCAGAATTTGCTTGTAATTCAAATTTTCCCGATATCTCGATGGAATCTATTAGACTGATTCGTACGTGTGCCGTTTTCGTAAATGAAAAACCTAATTTGTTTATGGAACACGTGATGGAAGAAGGACACCAGGTATTGATTGAGAGGAGATAAACCTTTTTCGTCATTTCGCATAAAAATTCATTTGAACTGCGATATTCGATTCGTTTTTCTTTTCTTTTCACTCAGGTTGCACCGGAAGACAGAGCTTGGGTGAGAGGTTGGTTTCCGCTTTTGTTCGAATTGTCTTGCATTGTTAACCGTTGTAAATTAGATGTGAGAACGAGAGCGTTGACTGTCCTCTTCGAAATCGTCAAAACTCACGGGGATGCATTTAAACAACACTGGTGGAAAGATTTGTTTCAAGTTTTGTTTAGAATTTTCGACAACATGAAACTTCCGGAATTATTTACCGAAGTAATTTTATTTATTTACATTATTTTATTTTTTTTTTTGGTGTTTTCGAAACTTAATTTTTTTTCCCGCCTTTTTTAGAAAGCCGAGTGGATGACGACCACTTGCAATCACGCATTGTATGCAATCGTCGACGTATTTAGTCAGTATTTCGAAATGTTGGGCCCGATGTTGCTCGAGGATTTATACGTTCAGTTGCTTTGGTGCGTTCAACAGGATAACGAACAGCTCGCACGTTCCGGAACGAATTGCTTGGAAAATTTAGTCATATCCAACGGTTCGAAATTTTCCAATAAAATATGGGATAAAACGTGTCAGTGCGTCATAGACATATTTAATTCGACAGTACCGTCGGCTTTGCTCACGTGGCGACCGCAAAACAATCAAAGTGACCTTGATATAATTAATTCGGTGAGTTTGTTTCGCATACGCACACGCACGCACACACGCATCCCATCATCCTGCGTGCAAATGATCGATTAAAAATGAATTTTTGTATTCACGTGTAAATGCCCTTTTCCCGTTGCAGAAAGAAAACAGTTCAAAAGATGTAGAAAAAGAAATAGTTCCTTATCCGAAACCCATTTTAAAAGTTTCGAGTAATAAATCGTCGTCGTCGTCGTCGTCGTCGTCGACGTCGCCATCATCCGCCGACGGAGGAGATGATAAAAATGATCAAAACAAAGAACAGAAATTATTTTCCGTTTTGTTAATTAAATGCATTGTTCAATTGGAATTGATACAAACGATCGACAACATCGTTTTTTATCCGGCTACGTCGCGGAAAGAAGATCAGGAAAATTTAGCTTTGGCTCAAGTGAGTGAAAGCTCGAATACGAACGAGCTTTGACTCGTTTCGAATGAATGCTCAATTGTTTCTCTCCTATTTTCTTTCACAGGCTGATTTGCTTCACGCGGAAAAAGGTGTCGTGAACGAACAGCAAAGAGAAGAGCAAGGAATGTATAGAAATCTCAGCAGCAAACATTTGTTTCTCCTCGTCGATTGTTTGCTGGAATCTCACAGGTTCGCAAAATCATTCAACAGCAATCACGATCAAAGGAACATACTTTGGAAAGCGGGATTCAAGGGAACGGTCAAACCGAATCTTCTCAAACAGGAAACTCAAAGTCTCGCGTGCGTTCTCAGGATACTTTTTAAAATGTATTGCGACGAAACGCGACAGGAAGACTGGATGAAAATACAATGTAAATTAATAGCCGTGTGCAAAGAAGCTCTGGAATATTTTTTGTGCCTACAATCGGAAAGTCACAGAGACGCGTGGACGTGCATTTTGCTGTTGGTTCTCACGAGAATATTTAAAATGAACGACGAAAGGGTAATATGGGAAATTGCATTTAATACTAATTATTATTATTAGTGAGATTTTTTAACTTACCTTTTTTATCCCTTCGCGATTTCAGTTTGGAGCTCACGCTTCGAGTTATTATTCGCTCCTTTGCGAACTCATGTGTTTCGATTTGAAACCAGAATTACGTTCCGTCCTAAGAAGATTTTTCCTACGAATCGGTCCGGTGTTTGGAATAACTTCTGGAAAAGGAGAAAAACAAAATAATTGACGCAATACGAAAAAAGAAACAATAATAATAATAATAAAAAATTTCGGAGAGCGTAAATCGTGTGAATCGGGAGCGTGAATTTTTTTTTATATTTTTTTTTTTGCTTTTTCTTAAAAGTTAAAGTTTTAGTAGAGCACGTGGTTTTGTTGTTGTTTTTGTTGTTGTTGTTGTTGTTCACTCCTCCTGTTTTTTTTGTAAATGTTATTCCCGTAGATGAAATGAAATGATACCGTAGAGTTTTTCCCTTTTTTTTTTTTCTGTTGATTATTTATATATATATATTTATATATATGTGTGTGTAAACCGATAGAGAAAATATAAATTGTAAATATTATTATTATAATATTGTTTATATCGAAATAAATTTACAATAGTTTATGAATAAAAACAAAGTTGAACTCAAAGTAAACCTTTCCTTTTTTTTTTTAACGAATAAGTGCTGTTATATATAAATATATATTTAATAAAAATATTTATTGTTAGTTTTATTTTATTTTCCACGTTCATTAGTTGACGTCATCATTGGCTCGAAAAAAGACAAATATACGAAATGAAAGATGTAAGAGTATCGAGAGGGAGAGAGAGAGAGATGATTTTTTAATCCGGTTGTAAAAAAAAGGCCAATTTTAACGACAGGAAAATTTTCTATTATTATTCCTAACAAATAATAATAATAATAATTAAATTAAACGGAAAAAAATTACGATGCGAGAGAGTGCGTACGTGCGCGATAGTGTATAGTTTTGTTGTTATCGTCTGTGGACGAATTCTGACACATTAATTAATGTCTAATGTATTTTAGATTCATGAAGTAAATAATCATGAAAGTTTTTATTTATTTATTTATTATTAATATTTTTTTAATTAATGGTTTCGTATTGAATCGTAAAAAACGTTTTTGTCACAATAACAGACCGATAATAGGTAAGATATCAATATCAATTTTTAATCAATTTGTTTACACATTTGCGTTTTTTTTTCTAACCTAAAAATTTAGAAATCTTGTTAATGTTTATTGTTTTGTTTTTTTTTTTTTGTTAATAATAATAATAATAATAATAATAATGAAAAGGAGTACTAACGCAAGAAGTTACGGGATTGCTGGAACAAAATTATGGTAAACATTGCAGTTACGTTGCGGCTTCTTACGTTAAACATTTGGAAAGCGCTGGAGCCAGAGTCGTCCCCATTTGGTACGTTTAAAATTTTTCTTTTTTTTTTTTTTGTTATTATTTTCCTGTTATCACGACAAAACATTCTTGTTATCAGGGGTGAACGATCTCATTTTTTATTTTTTCATCATCCCTTATAAAAACGCGAGACGATAAAATATCCCGTTATACGTAATTATCCGCGCGATAACAATTTTTGATTAAAAAAAAAATCTCGCATTAATACGCATAAAACCTACATAAATTATTATTATTTATATTCGACGCCCCCGTCGAGCTCCCCTCCTCGCCCTCTCTCTCCTTGTCCCTGTTTCTCTCTCCCTCGCCCCCCCCACTGGGCGCTCTTAAAATGATATCAAATTTTTTTTGATTACCTATTCATCATAAAATTTTTTTTTGTTTTGTTTTCTTTCTTTCTTTATTCATTTATTTAAAGATGAACTTTTCGTTTGCGACTGAGTCGAGGTCAAAGGTCAAACACTTAAAAGAAATTAATACGATACCTCCCGGGTATGAAATTGATTCGTTAAATGTCTATTTATAGAAAATTCAATTAAAATCCATTATTCTCTCTCTGTTTGTTTTTTTTTTTTTTTCATAAATATATATGTTAGTGCTAAATGGAATTTGGTTGTTGTTGTTGTGGTATAAAAAAAAAATGAAATAAAAAAAAAAAAAATTTTTTTAGAGGAAAAAAATCCGTTCGAGCGGACAACAACCACAAACAGACGTAAAACTCAAAACAAAAATTTTAAAATTTAAAATCCGTTCGGTGAATACCCTTTTATCATCATCATCATCATCATCATCATCATCATCATCATTATCATCATCATCATCATCATCATTAATTAAAATTATCCGTAATAATAATAATTTTTTATTTTTAAGGATCGGAGCAGACGAAAGTTATTATCGAAACATACTCTCGCTGATAAATGGGTAAATATTTCCCCTTCCCCTTCCCCTTCCCCCCACCCAGCCCTTTGGAAAAATTTAAATTTTCTGTTTGTTTGTTTGTTTGTTTTTAAGAGTTTTACTTCCGGGTGGTGCATCAGAATTTAACGTAACAAACGGTTACGCGGCTGCGGGTTGGTACATAATGTCGATAGCAGACGAATTTAATAAAAACGGTGATTATTTTCCAATATGGGGAACGTGTTTAGGATTCGAATTAATTACTTATTTATCAAATAATAATAATGATTTACGAGAAGATTGTAAATCGAGCAACGAAGCTCTACCCATTAAATTTAAACCAGGTATTAAAAACCGCCACGTGTGTGCGAATGCCCACGTGTGTATGACGATGATGACTACTTATTCTTTTCCTCTCTTTTTTTTTTCGGTATATAGATTTTGGAAACAGTAGGTTATTTAGATTAATACCGTCGGAAATTGTCGAAATATTATGTAAACAAAATTCAACGATTAATTTTCATCAATATTGCATAACGGAAAAAGTAAGTAAGGTCACGTGGTGTTCTTGAAAATTCTTTTTTTGGACCGCGAGAAAAAAAATTTTCTTGTTTTCTTTAGCTCCTTTACAAATACGATTTGTTTAAAATCTGGAAGGTTTTATCGACGAATTTCGACGAATGCGGTCTGGAATTTGTATCTTCCATAGAACATAATATTTATCCATATTTTGGAGTGCAATTTCATCCGGAAAAACCTGCTTACGAATGGAATCCGAAACATAATACTCCGCATACGAGAGACGTTATCAAAGCCAATCAATATTTCATGGAATTTTTCGTAGACGAAAGTAAGTTTTATTATTATTATTATTACACCCCTCCCCCCTCTGCCCTCCCTCCTTGGGGACCTCTTATCATCAACAATATAATCATTTAAATAATTTTTTTAAAAAAATTTTCCAGCAAGAAAAAATTGTCACACATTTACATCGGAAGAACAAGAAAGGGAAAATCTCATATATAATTTTCCGACGACTTACGGTCTACCTCAAAGCACTTTTACTCAAATTTATTTTTTTGATTGAACTCATTCGTGAACGACCGAACGCTTCTATGTAAATAATAATACGAACGAACGGATTTTAACGGGATTAATTTTTTTAAGGTTACCTGAAAACCTGTTTTTTTAAAAAAAAAGTTATGATGATGATTTTCATTCCAGTATTCGTTCATTAAAAAAAAAAAACCTGTGCAAAAAAAAAAAACTTTTGTTTTCTTACACTTTTTTTTTTGCAAAAATATGGCGAATAAAGAGAATAATAATAATAATAATAATAATTTCATTTAAATGTGGAAAAAGTTTAAAAAAAAAAACGAACAAACGAACAAACGAACAAACAAATTTTTTTTTCTATTCCATGAATTTAATTGTTTAAGAGAAAAACATTTTTTTTTTTTTTTTTTGACTTTTCCTCTCTCTTTCTTTCTCTTTTTCCCTTTTCCTCCTTCCCACCCCTCCTCCCCTCCCTCTTTTCCCCTCACGATATACAACATCTTTTAATGTTTGATTAAAGTAAATGAGGAGTTTTAATATTAATAAATGTTGTTTGTCGTGAAAATTAATTTTCTATTTAATTAAGTCAATTAAAATTTACTTATGTCGACGTTCGTGTGCGTGTGCGTGTGCGTACCTTGTCGACCTTGACAAATAATAAAAGAAGGAAAAGGAAAAAAAAAAATTTTTTTTATTTACTTTTCCTCGAGAAAATTCGCAAAATTTTTCGTCTGTAGGAAGAAGGAGAGTGAAGTAGTAAAAGGCGTCGACGATTTGTTTATAAATATCAAATGTATCAAATAAAAACGTTCGATTCTTAGAAAAGTTTTCCGGGAATAACTTCGGAAATGTTGATTTTTTTTTTTTTTTTACGGCCTGAAATAATTTTTTTTTTTGTTCGTTAAACAAATAATAAAAATAATTTCTTGTTGAAATTACCTGTTATCGACAACGATGACGACGCCGATGTTATCACGAAAATTCTTAAGAACTGTTAGGAAAAGCCGCTAAGTGAAGAGAGGAGGAGGTTTTAAGGGCGGTAGTTTCGGGATTGAATTTTCCACGTTTACTAGGGGTAAACCTTTCATTTGGATGCCTTGGGGAGCCTGAGATAGCAAGGTTGAGTCTGAAAAGGGGAAAAATAGGCCCAAAACCGAGTTGAGAATTCAATTTCCTGTACCTACATAAGGGGATAAGTGACCTAACTGGCACCTTTTCGAGGTATTGAGGATGCGTTAACCCTTGTTCGAGGGGGTGAAACTGGGTACTTGATTCAAAATAGGGTAAGTACGAAGCTGCGACGTGAAAGGAAGACAGAAGAGCAATCAACGGGATTTACGACTCCGAACATCTCCCTCTGGAAACTCGCAGACTGTGTGGAAGTGGCAGGAACGATGGTAACAGATCAGGTTTTTCTTTTGAGGGGTAAAAAGGGGAAGTACCGGAATCTTCTTCAGGTGGGATTTCCACTCTTGCGAGTGTGAATCTGATGATTCTGGCTCGGGAGGGGGAGGGGTTAAACCTGAAATTCAGGTTGTACTCCTCCCGCAAGCAAACACGTCCAGGAATTTTACTTGGGTGGTGCCTTCGCCTGAGTTTTCCCAACCCCTCCCTGCCACCGGATGAAGAGGTCAAATGAATTCTTTCCGGGTTAATAAAAAAAAAAAAAAACGGTTAGCAACAAAAAAAAATTTTTTCAATTATTGTCGCATGTATAACAAATTTTAACGTGTCGTGTCACTAGTTTTGGAGTATTTTCCAAACTTAAAAAATTCATTTCCAGTCGTTAACGTGTCATTAACAAGAAAAAGGATAATACTCCAGGAAAAAAAAATTTAAAAATATTATTTATATACGCGTTACGTAAAAGTAATGACTTAAATGGAATAAAAGTAATAAAAAAACGTCGTCGACGAGGTTTTTAACAAAAAAAGAAAAGTTCTGGAAAATTTTCCAGAACTTTTCTTTCCATTACCATTAAATGAAATCATATTACGCGAACCTTTTTTTTTTCCTTTTTTTTTCTGTAATTTAAAAATCAAACCTTACGTAGTCAAATTATTTTTTTTTTATAAAAAAAAAATATCCTAAGAAGCAATCATTGATAATTTAGGTCACAGTAATATTTATTCTATCATACGTATATATATTGATCACATACAAAAAAAATAATTTTTTTATACGTATCTAAAATTCAAATTAGGCCTCGTTTAACAAAAAATTTCCCCCGTCTTCAGCCTTTACCCAACCCTCTCCCCTCTACCTCCTCCCCTCAATTTTCTAATCTACAACTCTTATTCAAACCATTTTTGTGTTAGGCTAAATTGAAAATTTTAAATTTGATTCTACATACACACGCACTCACGCGCACACACACACATATTTTTTTTTGTTTCTCGCGTAAAAGTGTGTCAAAAACTTTTTAAGGAAACTATTATATATAAAGTGTTTTAAAAAAAATATGCCTGGAAAAATAATTAATAATAAATAAAAGACATGGAAATTTTTTTTTTTTTTTTTTTATTACGTTTCAAACTTAAAACATTATTTTATAATTTTAAAATTATGAATGAATTTTCCGGGGGGGAGGGGGAAACATTAAAAAAAAAAATTTTATTTTTTCCGGGCAATTTATTAAATATAAAAAAAAATTAAAATTTTTAATTAACGTTAAGAAAATTATTATTATTACGTTTTAAAAACCGTCGTCATCATCATCATCATTATTTAATTTTAAAAATTTATCGTTTGAAAAAATGAAATCTCTGCTGGAAACTGGAAAGAAAGTGAGAGAAAGAGAGAGATAGATGCAGGAGTAAATAGTTTTTTTCGCCCCATTATTTTGGACACCTCAAACCCGGACCCCAAACGTTTTTTTTTTTTTCCATTCCGGTCGTCCCAGTGACCCAGAATCCGTTTTTTAAAATCCTAAGAAAACCAATTTCGCATGGGTTTAAAAAACGGCGAAACGGTGTCAACTTACGATTTCCGCGATATCTCGCACGTGTTAAACGATGACGTAAAAAAACTCAAAGTTTATATTTTATACGTCACGGGTGACGTCATCGCTTACCATGGCAACGTCGCGAGTTACGAATCGAAAGAGTGCAAGTCCGATTTTCATTTCCCACTGGAAAATTACGTAATCGTCGGAAGGCGTTTGTTATTTTTTTTATATTGAACCCGATTGACCCGACACGTGTACGGACTTTGAACTTTTCTCGTTTAGGGAAAAATTGAAAATCATTTTTTTTATATATTATTTTTCATATGAAAATTACTATTATTATTATTTAAAAAATTAAAATTATTTTTTCCCCTATTGGAAAACGTCACGGAAAACTTAAAATAATAATAATAATATATAATAATAATAATAATGATTAAAAAAAAGTAGTAAACGAAATTTGTTTGCATTAAAAAACAGTTGGTAATGTTAAACATTTCGTAGTAAAAATAAAAAATAACATGGAAAAACAAAAAAAAAAATTTAAATTTCTTAAGTTTACGTCATAATCGTGAACTTTGACACCGGATGAGAGGTACCTTTTTTTTTTTTTTTTATAAAAAAATAAAATACTCGCAAAATTCATTCGATATTTTAAAGTTTAAATAATAAATTTACTCATTTAAAAACTTTTCTTTTTTTTTTTTTTTTGTTTTGAACGTGTGAATTTTTAAAACTGGGTCGAACAAAAATTTTCTCTCAATTTTCTGACAACGACATGTGTGCGTGTGTGTGCGTGTGCGTGTGCGTGCGTGTAAGAATTGTTGTAATTCAGGGCGTTTAAAAACTTTTACGATAAATTTTTTGTACCGAAATCTTTAATAACAAAAGAAATTCGAATGCTTTCTTTCTTTCTTTCTTTTTTTTACAAACATTTTTTCCTCTTCTTCTTTGGATTTTCCTTTTCTTTTTCTTCTACAAACTCAAGACAAAGTAATACAAACAAATACAAAGTAATCGTTTTTACGATTTTGTTGTTGTTGTTGTCCTTTCGAAAACAACAAACAAGATGGTGACAACACAATTTATTAACGCGTTTGTTTCGAATCGAATTCGAATTTTCCCAATTTCAATTAAAATCAAATTATTAAATTATTGATAAGAGATAAAACGAAACACGTGATAATACGAATCATTGGAGGTTCTTTTTTGCGATGGAAAAAAAATTATTAAATCTATTATTATCACACGTCAATTTTAATTATTATTTATTATACTAATTTAAAATTATGATGAATTATTAAGTAAATAAAATTTATTTTTCTAAAATGGATGGACATTTTCTTTTATTGTAAACTAACAAAGGTAAAGGGCGTCGTCAAGGCCCTTTTTTCCTATTACTCTTCCTTCCTTCCCCCTCCCCCCTCCTTTTCAACCCTATTTGATTATTTACGTTGCAAATAACGCACGTAATAAAATTTTTTTTTTTATTTTATCGTTCAGGAAAACATTTTTTCCAGATCTTTAACATTTAAATTTTTATTAGGCGCCATGGCCGTATGTGTCCATCCACCACGTGTGAAACGTGTGGCAACAAGACGATCGAACAGTATAAAAAAGTCGTCGTTATCTAAACGAAATATCATCGGCATTGTTATCAATTCACCCGCGAAAACAAAACAAAATAAAGAAAAAAAAATATTTAATAAAAACTCATCGGGGTCATCATTAGAAACAATAGAACAAAATGGCGTGAAAAATTTTTTTATTAATAAATTTAATTATTTATATAATTTTATAAAAATAAAAATTTATTATGTGATAATGTGATAAAAATAAAAATTATTAAAAAAAAAAATTTTATGTAAAAAAAAATAAGGTAGTGGATAATAAAAAGTAAAATTTTTCCACGCGAAAAAAAAGAAAAAGGAAAAAAAAAAAAAAAAACGCTCACACACATATTGCTGTAAAACGTGATGAAAACTTAAAACTCGTACACGTGATTTAAATTTTTAAAATCTACTAGGAATTTTTCCTTTCTCCCCCGCCACCGCACCCCTCTCTCCCGGTTTTCCATCGTCTCC